TTCTCAAGAAAAACCTTTGGTTCAAAAACCTTAGCGCAAGGCAGCGGGGTTTTGGTACTGGGCTACAGGGAGTCCGTTTTATGGAGTAAGAAGTCCCCCTCACTTCAACCCCATATCTGGAGGGCCAGGAGACTGAGTTTGTCTTGCCTCCAATCATTGACCAATCTGGTATGAGTGGCTCGGAAGGTGCAAAAGCACCACCCAGAATAGCTCAATGGATCTCTGAGGCACGCAAACCATCTCACAAGGCTAAGGTCCAGTCTCGTCGCGATGTGTAAAAATGACCCATGGATCCAAACCGTAGACCCCTTATGTTGTCGCATACATCTAAGTCAAGGCGATGTATGCTTAGTGGTCATTGTATATCGTCTATCATTGTCGACTTTAGAAATAAATCAAGTTCTAGCCTCGGCTATGAAGAATCAATTGGTACGAGCTTATAGTCACGTTCTCTTGGCAGGGGACTACAACATCCAAGCCGTAGAAACTCCAGCCACTTTTAGTGAGCACTTCAAGGCGGAAATACAAGGGCTTATCGCTGGTTCACCGCCATACAATCATGTTATATTTGCGGCACATTTCAGGACAGGAAACAAACCGGCCACCTTGAACGTCGTTGTTCCTAACCAGGAACTCATGATCGACGTATTAACAATGTGCACTTCATTGGGTCGCAGCGAGCACGCTACACTAGCGTTCCGCTACATGTGCTACGCAGGGTATCTTAAAGAAAGTACCTAGGTATCTCACGTCGTAACCAAGTATGATGACCTGTCCGACCTCACTGGTGCAACAAGACATTTTTTCGTAGCCGAATTGTGGTCTCCTGAAGTGCTCTGCGGGAATTTAGCAACAGATTCGACAGACTAGTGATAATCATATAAGAAACAGAAATCCATTATCCGAAAAAGATTGTCGTTCTTAAGGAGCAGGGCTCAGAAATGCATGGCGTTGAGCAACACTGCGTGGGTCGCTTACATAAGCTGTCCGAGCGAGGACACCTGGGATATTTATCCAACACAAAAGGAACCATGGCGTAAAACTCGTCCGGAGGATAAAGGAAAAAACTAACAAGACCCGCTGATAAATTATTGCTCTAACGCTAAGCTACTATGCTGACACGTAAGCAAACTTCGCCGCGTTAAGTGCGGATTTCCTGTTTTGCACACAGCACGCGCGTTGGCATAAACGACACAAGAGGCGGCCAACGTTCTTGGACAACAATTTGGCCGTACCTTCCAGTGTGCAATAATCTTACATCCTACCTATGCAGATCATGCCGCCATCAGGTCTCAATCACATATCGTCTGCCAGTCCAGTTGTACTGAAGCGGCTGATGGGTTGATAACTTTCTCCGCGAACAGAAGTTAGAGGTTAGAGTCCGAACATCTCTGCTCGACCGTAATCGAGTGAAGTGCGACGATCTTGCGACAGCCATCATCTCAAAAATTTTACTTTTCGCGGATGACGTTAAATGTTGGCCGGCGATCAAGGGAATGAACGACCACAAGATCCTCCATGTGTGACCTAGATGGGACCTGGCATTGTCTGGTGAGAAATCCACTGCCATTCAATGTAGTCAAATGACACATTGTCCACATCCGCCATAGACACGCCTATTTCCACAAAATTGGGGCATACGACCTGCAGACAAGCCCTCAGGAACTTGACATCGGTGTGCTGGCGGAGGACGACTTCGGTTACTCCAGACAGTCGGAATCCGTTTCAGAAGTGGTAACCGGCACGTTGTTAGCTTGCGGATGGCATTCGAAAGTTTAGATTCATTCATCTAATCTATAATGCTCAATGCCTACGTGCGTTCCAACATCAAATACGCAATCCAGGCTTGGCACGCTTGGCTAAAGCGTGACCTGGCAGCGCTCGAAACTCCCCATGGTCGAGCAACAAATGTGTCAAGAGATTGTGCAACCTTTCGTACCAGCAGCGACTAAAACACTCGGAGTGTTTAGTGGACGCTACAGGTGGTTACGTGGAAATCTCATATTAGCTTACCAGATACTGAACGAACCCAGTTACGCATGCCGCCACCTACTTCAACTCATCCCGAACACCAACTTCAGAGGCAATAGCCTGAAACTGAGTCAACAACACAGTCGGCTTTTCATTAAGGCTGGACGAACCTCAGCTCATAGCGACCCAGTGATTCCGCTATAAGTAGCCATCGAACGTTTCGGTGCCTACGCTGTTTATGTGCTCAACGACAGCCTGGACGTTAAGAATTCTATCCGACCGGACGCATTATCAACACCATCTGCCAGTGGACCAATTTAGTCGTTCACACATTTGTGAAAGAGGAAAAGTATATTAACAGAAACCTATTGGTACGATCATCTATGCTAGCGAAGGATATGTTCGAAATGCCTGCCGGCATTCTGCTTACAGTGCAAACCGCTTGATTCAGTTGGCGAGCACTTTATCCAATGTCTCCCCTCGTGATCGCGCGACATTCGTTTACAATATTTTCATTCAATTGGCCCAATGTACGCGGCCTTGTTTTGTACACTGGTCGCTTCAGATAGCCCCACAGAAAAAGTCAATGGGGTTCAAATCTGGTGAGCGAGCTGGCCACTCCATTGGTCCACCGCATCCGATCCAATGGTGACCAAATTTGTCGGTGAGATAAGCACGCACCGTTTTAGCAGAATGTGCAGGTGCACCATCCTGCTGCCACCAAATGGTACTGCATGCCCCTTCAGCCTCCAACGGGAGAAGCACAAATGTCTGCAGCATTTCCAAGTACGACGATGCTAGGAGAAGATAAGGATTTAGTACTTCAAAACAACAACCTACCAGTCACATTCCAGCAGAAGAAATATGGGCCAAGATTTTCTGGCCTGTTAATCCAGCCCAAACCATCAGTTTCACACTGTGGTGCATACGCGATGCGATATATGTTCGTGGGTTGCTGGTGGCCTAAGTGTAACGTTTCAATATTCCATGCAGATGAAGCAGTGTCTCATCTGTAAACTTGACAGAGCGAATATCCCAGTGATCCCGAAACCAGCGGCTAAATTCATACCGCTTCTCCGGATCGCATGGGTTCAAAACCTGCACTTGAAGTGCACGGAATCTTCGTACTTTTCATTCATGCAATATCCGGTGTACCGTATATCGAGTCGTGTCACACTGCTATGCGATCCTACGAATGCTGAGATCGGTACGTTTTGTCACTTCACTGACTACAGCGCAAGCAGAACAGTCGACCGTGGTGATGCGAGGCGGTCCAGTTCTCATCATGTCACACACACACACACACCCAGTTTGCTCGAACTTCTTCACTAGTTTAAGCACGTACCGGGCGGTGACGGGACGCATTCCTGCGTTCATTGCATTGTATCTTCGTGGAGTTGATACGGCGTTTAAACCGCATTTACCGTACAGCCGAATAATCAGCGCGCGCTGAGTAACAGGCACATTAGGTGATCCCGACTGCATTGTCTGCTCGTGCTCCATTACCTGTGGCAGTGATTCAATGACACTGACACCACTTGCAATGTCTAACCTCGTCCTCAGCTGAGATACCATCACGTGCGCACATCCACGCCGCAGTTTTGTTTGCACGCTTTAGTTTGCCTACGCCGACTTCCCTGCGTAGCCAGCGAGACATACAGAAAACAATCGATCGCTCCAACGCCAACGGTTAGTCATGACCTTCAGCGTGAAGTTAACTGACAGCTAACGAGCGCCGGAAACACGTTGTGGCTGTCTGTACTCATCTCGCTCGATAAGCAAAACAGGCGTGCGTCCTTCACCAGCTTACGCCTGCACTCAGCTGAGCCCTGCAATAAATCACTCGTCTGCCGAGAATTCCATACGTCCTCACCACTAAGGTGAGAGAGCAATTTAGGTTTCTGCACGCGCAGTAGCATGTTGCGAATTTCACTAAACATTGAATGGCTATTGGATGTTGGAGACAACAATCGTAACTGACCGGCGTTCACCATAAGCGAGCCACGGTAGGTATAAGAACGCGGTCATCGGCCTTCTGCCGCCAGAATAACTGTACAGTGGACGTTACCGCCGTCTACGAGGAGATCGCCCAGTGGTGTATCAGATCCTAAGAAAGCCTAATTACACATGCCACCATCGTGTGAAACAGGCAAAATACATCTGAGGGTTCATTAGTTTATGTTGGCCACCTAGTACAGCCGACAGGACTGTCGATGAAGCCTTTTCTTGTTCCGAGTGTCAAGCTTGGAATGAATTCCATGCGCATGTAATTAACGTTCTCACCTTATCCTTATTCAAATATACGCCTTGACGACAGCCTGACATTTACAACACATGATATAACCAAGGACCATCCGGTGATGGAATTAGAGCAGAAAGAACAGTGAACGCTGTCATAATGCATCCAAATTGCAGGCAAGAATATTCACGCACGCGCTATTCCAAACCTCTTGGTGAGCCGTGCGTCACGGGCGAAATTTTTAACGACACAGTTTGTCTACCTTGTAATTTGCACTCTAACCCTCCTACGGGTCTTGTAAAGAGCATTTGCTTTTATACCCGTTATAACGGGTATTGCTCTATTCCCACAAACTGGGCAGACTCCACTGCAACTTATTACAACATCATGTACTACTTCATTTTACTTTTCAAGTTTATGCTTTTCTTTGCAATTCGGGGACCAGAGTTACTTCGGACGTTTTCATGAGATGAATGTGACAAAGAGACGACGAAATAGCTGGCTGATGTCTGGGAGCAAACGGGAGCGAAATCTCTCACTAGTGAGGAACAACCTATGTACACTACAGTCATGATTGAAACCTGTCTACACTTATCGGATCAGATTCACTGGACAGTGTTCCGCGTTTCCCAAAAGCACAATAAATATACACGTAAACGAGTGATTAATGTAACTCTGGGTTCAGAACAGACGGCACAGTTATTATGCGCATTCACGTAAGTTGCATTCTGAAACATGAGATTATACGGTTGAGACAAAAGTGGGCAACGCTAGCTGAAAGGTAGCTCACTTCTCTGTATCGACCAACTCGGTGTAAAGATGAGAAAAACTTGAACTCTTCGGTTTCGCCCCAATTCCGTTTACCAATGAAGCGACAGAGCCGGTGACCGAGCGTAAATCGTCTAACGTCGGTTCGAATTTCGACCTCCGTTTGGGCTTAATCTCTGTGGTCGAGTTGGAAAAAGGTGGTGGCCCCGGATTTTCTGGATCAACGATGTACCTGGGCATCAAGGCCGCGGTGATTAGGAGATGCAGGCAAATAGCACTCATCACCACAGTGCCACCGCGAGTACCGTACACTTGGTTGAGGTACGTAATTAGAGAAGGGAAGGCCATTTGACCAACACTCACTCCTGCAACGCTGATCCCATTAGCTAGACCCAAATAACGACGAAAACAACGACCAACCACGGCGAACACGGTGAAATAGATGCACGAAAGAGATGCTCCTAGAGGAACGAAGGACACAAAAATGGCAATCATTTGTTCATGTGCGAAAATGCTCTCGAAACATAAGCGTTGTGAAGCAATAAGCAAGAGTAGACATAAGAAGCATGAGTGGAACATTCAGATGATAATGTGACTAAAAGAAGTAAATATTCATTTTGGAGTATTTAAGGGAACGGTGAACGTATCGCACATAGGTAGCTAAACAATAGCGGTTCGGTTTCACACCAAATAGTTATCTTGATTGTACTATGCTCACGAATTGGTGACCAAACAATAGCGAACTATCTATTGATTCCGGTGGCAAACTATAGAACGGAAGTGGTTTCGTGGCTCCGTGGGCACTAGCATACTGACACTACGGCGTATTAGCTGCAAGTCGGACAAACCAGTAGATAACTAGGGACACACCACTTATAAAAAGCTCTCATGATGAGTGGCGATCGGTTCTCGATGATTGTTCATTACGTCTTGAAGGTGAACACAATCGGTATTCGACTGAGCAACCCAGTTTGTCAGTGACAACAAACGTTCCAACCCAGATTAGCAGCGCTTCTGAGTTGCAATTACGGATAAAATGCACCGGAGGTGGAGATTTCTGTGGTATCAGAGGAGTAATAGCCATGCATGTAAGTAGTAAAAAAAACCGATCAGCGTTTCAGAGTGTGCGTTGGACCGAGCGGAAGCTTCACACTGATACACTGGTGAAGGTAGGTCCAGAGGTCTGATAAGTGGAGGCTTGAAATATGTGCTGATGATGGTGGTGAATAACACACAGTTGAAGAAGCCCAGAACAATCTTTAGCGGCAAGGGATCAATCGTCAGACAATCTACAGTGTCGTCCGGGATTCCTTTTTTCAATCACCATTCGCAAGACTATTTTGATTGCACAACCCAGAAGCGCCGGTCTAAGGTTCCCAAGTTAAGAGTATGCTATCCATATGCACGGCCATCTGAATTAGGATAGCAAAGAAGTGGTAAAGTACTGGAAAGCATTTGGCAGAAATGCCTTCAACAACTGGCAACAGAAACCCAACAGAAACTGGCAACAGAAACACAGTAACTACATTTGGCGATCAAAATCATCATCATCACGAGCAGTACATCAGTCAATTGAACTGATGCTTCGCCGTTATACAACCATGACGACTTATGGAATGAACAGTAATAAGAGGGACAGAAAGGGGCTTACCGGAAAACCTTAATGCCCTAACCAAACATTCAGGGTCAAGGTGACTACACATTGTGTAGACAACATACCGTCACGAACAGCTGACTGGCGTGTAAAGATAAGGCGGTATCGGTGAGACAGCTTCCTTGCGGCTTTCACTGCCCCGCGTCATAATCAGACATTATCCAGCAGATAACTCAGCAACAAAATCGTTTTAAACAGGCACTACGACTAGGAGACGGCAACAGCCGCGCCAATGGTGTCGGCTGCGAGCCATGTCCTGTAAAGTCTCGAGCCAAGCACAAGGCAGGTCAAGCGCACACCAGCCCGGAAGGCGAGACGGACCGACGGCGCCGAGTTGCGTTGTCAGTGACTTCATTTCCCAATGTCAAGTCAACTTTTGTCCACCTCGAACCTTGAGCCACTCTACATCTGGCAGACTAAACAAGGCCCTCTCCGGTAAGCGGTGACCGGGCATACGTAATATGTGTCCAAGCTAATGCAACTTATTCAGTGCTATCTGTTGTTCTAAGGAACTAGCTTGGTTATAACTGCCAAGTAATCGTCTACGCAAATCATCGTTGCGGACATGCTTGTAGCACCGGACACCAGCAATATCATCGCAGGCAGCGATGATCAAGGACTTGAAGGCGCCTCAGATCCTCAGACCGAAGAGGTCTAGTCTTATTTCGATGGAGTAGGACGGTCCTCATTGTAGCCTTGTAAACACGGTTTTTCAGACGGAGGGAAACTCCCTTCTGTCGCCAAATGTGTCGCAGATAGAAAAAGGCAGTTCTGGCTTTTACAATGCATGAACTGACTTCAGTCTCTATGTGCCCATCGTTGCTGATGCAGCTGCCAAGGTAAGTGAATCGGTCAACTACCTCGAGTTCCTCGTTATCAAGGGTCAACGGGTCATCAAGTGGCTGGTGGTCCTGCAACAACACTTTGCGCTCTGAAGGTGCGAAGCGCATACCACTCTAGAGGCTATTAAGGGTTGATTGCGCCGTTCCAACACCGTTAAACAGCAAGGCAATATCGTCCGCTTAACCAAGATCAACAATCCTTTCACAAGACAGCACCACAACATCTGCATCGTGAGACTCCGCAAGGGAACACCGCATGATGGAGTCCACGAAAAGTAGAAGAAAAACAGAGAAACCGGGAAACGCTGACGAACGCCACTTGTAGTCAGAAAGATATCCGACAGGACACCGCAGACACTGACGCGACTTGTAGTGTTTGAGCAAAAAGCACGTAAAATGTTCACATATTTCATGGAAACACCTTTCCGCACAAGTATTTCGAACAAAATACATCGATCGAGTGAATGGAAAGCACCCATGAAGTCGAGGAGCACAACTATCTTCGGTCTGCGGCACGTGTGGCGCTACTCTAGCACCTGCCGCAGAGTGAGTATATGGTCTACACAGCCCCGTCCAGGGAGGAAACCCGCTTTCTCTTCCCTAATCCGAGATTCCTGTTCCGCAGTGATGCGACGGAGAATGGAGGCCAGTAAATTGGGCACAGCTGGAGTTATGCTAATACTATTGTGGTTAGCACAGTAGGTATATTGCCGGCGGGATGTGCGATATCTCGAGCGGTTCCATCGACAGTGTTTGCGACGGATTCTGCGCATCGGATGGGGTGACAGAGTCGCGGACACGGAAGTGTTGCGTCGAAGTGGAATGTATGCAGTGGACTGCATACTTCTACTGAGACACCTGTGGTGGCTCGGTCATGTGAGCCGTATGGATTCGACGCGGATACCGAAACAACAATTATATGGTCAGCTGAGTAATGGAAAGCGGCATGTGGGGAAACCAATATTACGTTACCAGGACATGATCAAAGTGAGCCTTTCACGTTTTAATATTGATTGCAGGTCATGGAAATCGAAGGCGGTTGATCGGCGTGCATGGCGCGATCTAATCACGAAGGCAGTTGCCGAAGTGCGGGAGAAAGACCTCATACATGTAGAGAAGAAGCGGCAAGTGCGGAAGCGGCAAGCACCGATGGGTTGTACTCCATCGACATCAAGCGCATGGTGCTGTAGAACATGCGGTCGCGAGTGTCTGAGTCAGGCAGGCCTAGTGAGTCATGAGCGAGGCCACTCGGGACCACTACCGAAGCGACGACGGGTCCTGCAGAGAACGTACGCAGAACCGGTGCAGCGTTAGTAGGTACGCTGCATTCGATTTACTAACCGCGTGCTCGCATGCTAAGTCTCTTTAGTTCAGGTGGCGGGTTCTCTATATTGTCCTAATGCTTTTTTCTCTCATATTAATGTCTACCTGTACTATCTTCTATAAACCTGCAGACGTCGCTGAAGCTAATTGTAGTTAATTTCGATAACATTTTCGAGTTCGTGACATTTCCTTAAAATATATTTGCTGACCTTTTGAACTTATCGCGGATTCGTTCGTAATCATTTTATTTTATACGCCCACTTAGTGAAGAGTTATGCCATCGTAGCTGTATGCATTATCCGATTAATTTAGTTTCACCTTGTCGTTTCAAGTGATTGGCTGTTGTTTGATATCCCCGGTGTGGTTGCGTTTGATATGCATGCAGACAAGGTGCCTACCTGTCTATTACCCACTACCTCGTCTATACTGGCTTCAGGAGACAGTTGGTCGTTGCTGGAGGGGACGGGGTGCACGGTCCTTGTGGCCGTGTTAGGCTCGAAGTGCGGTTCCATGCACTCAGTGTGGAGCGGACTACGGTCCAGCCACCGCCTTGTGTGCACTTGATTCCCCAAATACAGCGTGCTTGTGTTTGCCTGTGAATGAGTGTTGGCCGGCTCCGTTGATGAAACGTGGCTCCCATCCACATGCCTCCCGGTCTTATTCCTTCCGGTTTACATTGGATATGAAGTGTGTGGGTGGAACTGTGGGTGGTGCAGCGCAAGCCACCCATGGTCCCTCTGTAGGCGCAGGCGTCCTGTGGCTGGCCACAGTGACAGGCAAATCCGAAACCGGATGCCACCAACCATATTGCTAGTATGATCGATTCACTCTTGTTAGCCGGAATGTTCCTTCCTGACATGTTCGAACAGAGAGGTGAGCGTTTTGTGGAGGACCTCACCTCCATGCTTAAGTAGTGCAGGTGGGAGGGAATCCGCACCAACAGCCCGAAAACGATTGAGAACTGTAGTCGCGTTTGGCACCTCAGCCTCCGATTGAGCCTCTAAACTAACTGGCCATGGGTCATCCTACATCAACCGAGTAGGAAGAGGTCCGGAAGCACGGGGCCAACTGAACTGATCTTGAAAGTGCTCCTCATTGTGAATCAGTGCACCCGCACTGGAACGGCTTGCGATAATTGCTTACTGCTCATTGCTCCTCCACTGCTTGAGCCCGACTGGTCCATCAAGCTTCCTTATCAACACGCAGGCTCCGCTTTGGTTCCCGCCTAGTAGTCTGTCTGGTCACATTGTGCTCCGAACCAGCTGAGAGTTTTCTTCTGGATGGCGACAAGTTCATCGACTTATCGGATATCCAGTGACTGATGCGGTGACGATTGATAGCGCCACAAGCAGATGATATTGCGTCGTGCATTGCGGCCGAGATCCTATTCCACTGAAGCTCAGTGTCATTGGAACAAGAGAGCGAAAGTTCGGAACGCATTGCATCCCGGTAGGCATGTCTGACCGAGCGCTGAGATAATTTATCAGTTGCCAATCGGGGGAGACGCTTGGTGCGCTTCCCGGTAAAGTTCATGGAACAGGCAGTTGATTATGCGTTAGGACACTACCATCTAACGTGTGCGATTCAGTGATATAGCGTACGTCAGTGCCAAGAAAGTGCACAGTATCAGCAAGCATTTCCT